AAGCGGTTAAAACAAAGGGCACATAGGTTAGAATATGTTTTAAGATCAGATAAAAGCAAATACAACAGTTGAGCGACCGTGCTAGAACCACGGAATCCGGGAGTGCCTAATACCTTTTCCCGGGTTAACAGAATTCCTTACTCGGAGTTCTGGTTCGCGGACCGTTAATAGAGTCATAATCTCCTCGGATCGGGATTTAACCGGTGACTTAGGACACCATTAATCTCCTAAGTGGCGACTCTGAATATTAATAATAAATCCCGTTCCGACTGTCCTTTAATTGGAAAAACTCCTTTACACCCTCACAGGTGTAGAAAAAGGAGGTGTGACACTTGGGAGCAGAGATCATTGAGGCCAAGTGTGACTCCCAACTTGTGGTAAATTAGGTCAGCAGAACTTTCGAGGTTCGGAAAGATCGGATGCAAAGGCACTTAGACTAATTACAAGTGTCTCTACATCAATTTAGAGAATGGACGCTACAGCACGTACCTCGGGAATAAAATAGCAAGGCCGATGCCCTTGCAAATTTGGGGTTATCGATTGAAGATGATGAACTCATCTCGGGAACTGTTGTACAACTTTCAAGGTCAGTAATCGAAGAATGGCACGCTGAAATAAACTCCACAAGCCTAACTTGGGATTGGAGGAGTAAATATATCGAGTATCTAAAAATCGGGAAGCTTCCATCGAACCCTACGGAATCGAGGACTCTACGAACGAAGGCAGAACGATTCACATTGGCCGAAGATGGAACATTATACAGAAAGATATTTGATGGACCATTGGCAATATGTTTGGGTCTGGGAGACACGGATTACGTTCTACGAGAAATTCACGAATGTACTTACGGAAACCATTCCGGCGCCGAATCGCTGGTTCACAAAGTCATTAGAGCGGGATACTATTGAATCGATATTGGATCGCCGATTCACAAAGTCACAAACACTTAAGAACCCTTTCACGTAAGTAGTGATGTCCTCTTCCGGGGTCTGAATCACCATCTCTTTGCCTTTCCAATGTCAATCTTTCTTCACCTGCTTAAGGTCGCCCTCGGTTATCGAGTATATATATATATATATATATATATATATATATGTGTGTATATATATATATATATATATATATATATATATATATATATATCTCGAAAATTCTATAAACTATGAAATATTCACAAAGACATCAAGATGTGGCCGAAACTTCTTGACAATAAATATTTTTAAAAGATCTACAATATCCTCTCACAGAGATAAAATATATGCCAAGAAGGCCCGCATCATCCTACGTTCTAATCCTCGAATTATGGAGAACAATTCTGAGAGAAGAATGGAGCAAACAGAATTGCTCATAATTTATTAGTAAAATCTCCTTTTTCTTTATATTTGTTTTGTGATTGTAATTTATTTTCTTATGTTAAAAATTTATTGCAAATGTTAATTACATGTTTATTGTGTGTAGGAAGGGAGTTGGATGAAAGTAAAACAAAGAAATAATAATGTGCGAAGTGTGGCTGTAAAAACAAAAACAGAAAAACTGAAACTGAAGGGGAACTCTAGGACGCTCGTGTCGTGTCCCATCCTGACGAGCCAAGGGTTACAGGCGTCATACAAAATAGTGAAGTCTGTCAAGGCGAGGGTTACCGTGAGAACCTGCTGAAAAATAACTACTACATGCCAAATGTTTTTCCTACTCGTGTAACGAGCCGTGTGGACGAGCCTCCCAATTTTTCTTGTTCGAGTTGGGATTGGTTTATGCGCCCCCCTATATATATATATATATATATATATATATATATATATATAATATACTATATATATAATATAATATATATATATATATCTACTTTGGAGGCAAGAAACACACAAGGAGCGAAGGACAATGGAATTTGGCGACGAGTTTCCCATTTCTTCCATTATTTCTTGTTTGGTTTATGAATTCTAGTGTTATGTTTTTGAGTGAAGTTATAAGTTGCTATACTTCTCATCTAGAATTTTGATGAAACCAGTATTGAGTGGATTATTGACAGTATTTATCTATAATTAAGCCATTTTTATAATCTTTTTGTTCAACTATATTGATTTAGAGAGAAACTTATTAGGTTATTGTTGAACATCATCACATGTGCATAGTTAAAAGCTAGATGGCCCCTGTTCCTGCCATCTTTAAAAATTGGTGGGAAGGAAAAGCAAAGAACAGAATACATGGCCTGATTCTCCAAGTAGCACCAACTGTCATATGTTGGGAGATTTGGAAACAGAGAAGCTCTTATAGATATGGCACGCAGAAGAAATTTCATCTCAACTTCATGAAACATCAAGTTATATGGACTATCAAATCCATAATCTCCAAACTAATGCTGAATGGAGAGGTCTCTCATCACTGGCCTACCTTATGCAGCAGGATAGAGAAGTTGAGACATGTTCAAACTTGGAAGCAAGTTCAATGGCATCCTCCTCTATTTGACGCTATCAAAGTTAAAACTGATGGTAGTTACATAAAAGAAAGCGGAAAAGCTGGCATAGGAGGGATAATCATAGATGGGAATGGTAATTGTATCATGGCCTTTGCTATGCCTGTTAATCCTTAGCTGCGGAGTTTGGAGGAAAATGGTGCAACCAATTAGGTTTCACTAATTTTGCTCTCGAACTAGACTCAACTGTCATTGTTAACATGATCAATCAAAAAGGAACAAAGAATATGAAACTAAAGACGGTAGCGGATAGGATTATAAAAGTTGTCCAAAATGCAATTACGACGGTTCAACACTGCTCAGAGAGGACAACCAAGTAGTCGATGCCTTAGCTAAACTAGCCTCCACCTCCAGTACAAGGTTGATCTGCCACTCTTTCGGCCAACTACCATAGGAAGCTAAAGGACTCTTCATTCTGGATAAAAGGCAAATGCCTAGTATTAGAACAAAATATGCTAAGTGCAACTTTTTTGTTAGTTGATTATGTATATATATGCACGGGAAGTAGAGAGGACTTTGTATACCTCCTTCTATTTTTTGGGTGATAGAAATCACCATGTTGTATTACGTTATTGAGGTAAGGTCAAGCCCCCCTCACTACAATTTTTTGAAATACAACTCCTCCCAAACCTCTGTCTGGGGTACTTCAGTTAAAAAAAATTGGATTACAGATAACGAAACTTTGGCACGATCTTTGAAAGTCATCAAAGTTAGCTAAAAGTTAGTTGGGAGAGTAATCTAAAAAAAATATTGCTTTTGATCCAAAAATAATTGCGGTAACGAGACAACTCATGATCAATGGAGAATAACTCGGCAAGATTATAGCTAGCATGTTAGGCATATAACCGGATAATTGGAGAAATCATTATCTAAGTATTTTACTCTTGAATACAACTTATTTCTCTTTAGTTGATACTTTTTACTGCTTTTTAATATTTATAGCTAATTAATTTGAAACAAAAATCTTAATTTTTATAACTTGAAAAGTGTTTGAACTTATTTTCTTATCGATATTGAATAGGAGTGTTAGTTCTCTGTGGGATTCGACTCCAGACTCTTTATCCAGATATATTTGCAGCAACTGCTTATCCTTTTTGGAACTAGAGCTTGGTGTAATCAAATTTTGGTGCTATTTCTGGAACTAACGATTTTGTTTGTGGCTCAATCTTATGTGTGAAATTCATGTGATATGTGTGATGGTAAAAATAGTCATTTATATGGTTGTGCTTATATTTCTTATCCGCACTAAATTCCATATATGATGATTCTACTTTTTCTCTTAAAGTTAATAGGAATAATAAAGTGGAGGGATGCTGACGTAAACAAGATCAGGGATATGTTAAAATGTCTTGTGAAGGAAGATGATGAGAAACAACTATGGATACGGATACGAGAGGCAGTTGGATCACATCTAGAGGTTTAATTGCGTCAACTACTTGAAGCTTTTAATGCTCAACAAGCCAATATTATGGATAGTAATCAAAAAGAATTTGAGTTAGAGGAATAAATTGACATTCCAATGGAGGAGTTAAGAGTTGAATGTCGTCAACCATAGAACCAAATGGTGTTTGATGATATAATGCTGACATTGAAGAAGTGGTACTAGAGTCAATCAAAGACATTACAAATGCAATTTTAGCCTATTCTAGTTTTTGTCAAGAAGAGAATATCGATAATAAGTTGAATTTTCAGTTTGAGCGTATTGGTCGTCATTCCAAGCACTTTTCGACATTATATTCAAAAGGAAATACGAGAATCGATTCTTACGAGCCTATGCAACAATCAAAAGATAAGATAGATGAACCATACATTCTGAAATTTTAAGGTCGTTTAGGCAAGGTGATACTCTTCGATTGAAAGCCAAAAAGTACATCAGGAATTATTTAATTTTAAGCTGTATGAAGAAGGGTAAAACTAAGCCCTCATGCATTTTCCTGATTTATCATGTTTTCTTTTCATTATTTTGGCACAACATAAAATATTCTGCATATTGTTAGAACAATGAAATTAACTAAATATAACACGTGTAACAATTAAATACCACTAAATATTCCATAGCACAATTGCATAAATATTTATTACTAATAAAATATTATCTAAAGTTATTGAAAGAACTGAGAAGTGATAAAATTATTATTTATAACTCGTGTGACAATGATATATCACTAAATATATTGCTTGTACAAGCCACCAACCCAAAGGAAATAATTATTACTAAAAAATTGGCCATAATTATTAGATTCCCAATATTGTTAAAAAGATTCATGTCAGGTATCACATTAGTAGCCGAAAAGATTGTGAAATTAAATATAAGGTGCAAGAATATATATTCTTAATAGTATAAAATATTTTGAAAAAATAGTGCTAATTTGACCGAAAACGGATAATATCGCATCATGTTGTGACCGAAAGCGGACAATATCTTTGGGTCAGTTTTAGCCCAACAATTCATTTGGATGAAAGCTGTGAGCTCCACTATATAATCCCCTGTCAATAGCCTTCAGTTTCAGTAACCAAAACTTGAACTTAAGAAGCCATATTCCCATAATGGGTTTTAACGTATCCTCCATTAAAACATCTTCAGATGGAATATGGCAAGGAGAAAATCCTTTACACTATGCTTTCCCATTGTTAATCATTCAAACCACTTTAGTTGTCTTCCTCAGTCGCTGCCTTACTTTCCTCCTCAAGCCCCTCCGGCAACCCAAAGTCGTCGCTGAGATCCTTGTAAGTTCCTCCACCACCTTAGCCCTACATTTCAAGAAATAATACTTCGTTTAAGTTCTTTGCACTAACACTATATGCTTCCTAATTACATTTTTCATTTATATGGAGGTATGAAATTTTCTTTGTTATTTTTGCTATCAATACTTTTCTATTCTTTTTAGTATTTTCATCTTAGTTTTTTTGCTAACCTATCTTGAAAACACGTTTTCTGAGCCGATGGTCTATCGGAAACAGGCTCTCTATACCTAACACAAGGTAGGGGTAAGATTTGTGTACACCCCGCTCTCCCCAAACTCTACTTGTGGGATCGCACTAGGTATGTTATTGTATGGAGGTATGAAATTTAAGAAAGAAATAAACACTTTTAGTATATGACAAACCTTTAAGACTTGTGGTCTTAATTCTTCAATATGTCATAACATTTATATAGCTATAAGACATTTCATTAAGGTTAAAGTGAAAACTTTAAAGTTCAAGAGTATTCAAATATATAAAAAAAAAAAAAAAAAGGTGTCATACTTTTCAGAACAAACTATTAGGAGAAAAAGAGTGTCACATAACAAGGAAAAGATGAATCAGAGTATAATCTTCTTATTACCATCCTATTAATTAGACCTACAACAAATGATAACTTTCGTGATAGCAAGTTTGATACGATAAATAAAGTAATGACCTGTTACAGCTTCATGGTCGTAAAACTTTTTATACTGTCATTATATATAGCTAAAATCCAATGAATAAAAAAAAAATAACAAAATTCTTTCACGATTCCAGTTCTATATTTCGTGCACTTTTTCATAACTGCAATATCCTTGGTCGAGACTGGCCTATAAGTACTAAATTCCAACAGATAAAAAAGGCAGCCCAGCCCACAAATCACATTCACGCAGGATCCGGGGAGGGCTGAACCCCAAGAGTATAATGTAGACAACCTATCCTAATGCAAGCATTAATGGCTGCTTACACGCGTCAAACCCGTGATTTAAAGGTCACACGGAGACAACTTTACCGTTGTTCCAAGGCTGGCCTCCACTAAATTCCAAAAGATAACGTTTCATTTTTGTCATTGCAGGCTGGGATTATGCTTGGACCATCAGCTTTTGGTAGGAACGAAGTCTTCACACGCTTGATTTTTCCAACATGGAGCATTCCGATTCTTGAATCTGTATCAAGCATAGGGCTCTTATTCTTCTTGTTCCTTGTTGGCCTAGAACTAGACTTGAAAACCATACGTAAAAGTGGAAAAAGAGCTGCTGGAATAGCTTTTGCAGGAATTTCTCTGCCCTTTATTTTTGGCATTGGAGTTGCTTTTCTTCTAAGGAAAGTAATCAAAGGGGTTGATAGAGTTGGTTATGGAGAATTTTTCATATTTATCGGAGTTTCACTTTCAATCACCGCCTTCCCTGTTCTTGCTCGAATCCTCGCAGAACTAAGGTAAGGTTATATATGTTGAATTGCGTGATCATCTCATCTAGAAAATTATGTTACGTCCCTCATGCAATAGTGGAGCCATGAATTTATACCAAGGGATTCAAAAAATATATATATTGAAATTATCATAGTTGGAATTTGAACTTGTGACCTCAAACAACTTTTTGAACCCTTTTACCCCTACATGCACTGTAGAATACTTCCTTATAAGAGGGGATTTAACAGCATATATAGACCATGTTATAAAAATTAGTTAGGAGAAATACAAATTTTCTCCTTAGCGGAAGCGGATCGTCTGCAGTAACTCGACTCAAAATTACTGGTCGTCGGGAATCCTCACGTAGCGTGTAGAGAATAAACCGTAGCCACCTTCATTTGGTTATTAGTCAGTCTCCAAACACTCAAAATGGTGTTTATATAGACTGCATTTAGGGTTAGACAACCTAATGGGCCGACTAATTAGCTAGCACCCCTTATTTATTTTTCCCTATTTGCGCGGTCTAATTTTTTGACAAAGGGGATTTGATCAAACCCCTAACCTTCACGTAGCTCACCCCTGTCTCACGTATGTGATACTATGTTAAATTGTGTGAACATCATCTCATCTAAAATCTTAAATTGTTAGGGAATAGTGCACGCTATTAATTATTTTAATTATATTATGTCTGAACAGGTTACTTACTACACAAGTAGGTGAAATAGCCATGGCTGCAGCTGCCTTCAATGATGTTGCAGCATGGATCTTACTTGCTCTCGCAGTTGCTCTAGCTGGAGGAGGAAAATCACATAATAGTCCTTTAATTTCCCTTTGGGTTCTTTTATCTGGATTTGGATTTGTGGTTTTTATGTTCACTATTATTAGGCCAATAATGAATTGGATGGCAAGAAAAGCTTCATGTGGTCACCATATTGTGGAGGAAACTTACATATGTTTAACCCTAGCTGGAGTAATGTTGTTTGGTTTTATGACTGATCTTATAGGTATACATGCAATATTTGGAGCATTTATATTTGGATTAACAATTCCAAAAAGTGGAGATTTTGGAGGAAGGTTAATCTTGAGAATTGAAGATTTTGTTTCTGGATTATTATTGCCACTTTATTTTGCTTCAAGTGGAATAAAAACTGATATAACTAAAATTCATAGTCTTGGATCTTGGGGACTTGTTGTGCTTGTTGTGTCCACAGCTTGTGTAGGGAAGGTTTTGGGAACATTTATTGTGGGCATGTTATATTCTATACCAGTGAGAGAAGCCTTTACACTTGGAATTTTGATGAACACAAAAGGATTAGTGGAGCTCATAGTTCTCAATATTGGCAAAGAGAAAAAGGTAAGTTTAACAATATATATATATATATGCATTTGCTATTAGTTCTTTTTCCTTTCAAGAATTGGGCGTTCGAAATTTAGTGGCAGGGTGTACAAGAATAGTATTGAATAGGGTGTATTAGTAATGTTGGGATTAGTAATATTGAGATTAGTTATGATGAGATTAGTATACTGAGATTATTTTTATTCACTGTTTGGTTTGGTATACTAAAAATAACATGCATTGCATAAATTTTTTTTAATTATTTGTTTACGAAATACCCTCCATATCTTTAGAAAGGATTTGGAAAAGGTTTTGAAAAGGCAATTCTGTCTTTATACATACTTATCCATGTATTAGAAATCATGGTATTGCTAATACCATGATTTGCTATGTATAAAAATAGTACTATTGAATATGGTGTATAACTAATACAAGTATTACTATTGGTTGAAAAATATGTACCAAACAAGGAATTAATATTAATAAAGCTAATACATGTATTACTTTTCCTAATACGTCCTACCAAACAACTAGAGATGGACCTATGATATACCGAGAGGGATCATGATCGACACCCTTAAAGTTAGGCAAAAACTCCAAGTATATTTAGAAAATAGTGATATATTAATAGCGAACACTTGTATACAAAGTAGATTTTGGTTGAATCCAAAAGCGCACCCCCAAACTTCAAATCTTGAGTCCGCGTCTGCGAACGACCCTTTAATAATATAACCATTCTACCACACTCTTTGATGATGCACGTATTTATTAGTTGTGCCACTTCTTGATCATGATCTTAATTATTTGGCGACGTGATTACGTGTAACCTCGGATCCCACATAAAATCTGACAGTACTCAACCCATTATATATTCAGTGGACAAGCATTGACTTTTCTTCCATTATTATAAAACTTGCATGTTCCAACAGAAGTCAGATGATAAGATAACATGGTAGACTTGTCCTTTACACTCCTAGCTTTTTTGTGACTCTGTACGATGTAATAAATTTGATCCATACACCAAAATTTGATCCTAGTCAGTCTCCATATATTTTACCCTTTCAAATATGCCGACAGTGCATGTTACTGTTTATTTCTCAAGATTAGGGTATAGGGTTCTGAATATTCCCTTCTCACTTGAAAGAGAGGCATTTCTAAGAAGGAATTTCTTGAGTCCAAACTTAATGATCACTTCTCACTGTCTGTGGCGAAGTCAAAATTTTTATTAAGGGGTGTCAAAATATATAAAAATAAAGATACTAAAATAAGGGGAGTCAACACATAGTATATATACATATAAATATTCTTTTACCTACCTACACAGTGTATTTTTCCCGCAAAGAAATGTCATTTGACACCCCTTCCTACAAGGGGGCTCCCCCACTACTCACTGTTCAATGTCCAATGGTGATGTACTTGAAATGATTGTCACTAATTATCTATTTAGTTGGAAATCCAGGAAAGGATATAATCTAGAAAAATCCTTACTATACTTTCCAGAAATTCTTTCAGAAATATACTCTCTTTGTTTCAATTTACTATTTTACTATATGACATATATAGTTTGATCGGACACAGAATTTAAAGAAAAAAGAAGATTTTTGAAATATATTGTACTAAATATGTTAATGTAGCTGTAAAAGTTTTAAAACTTATAATTTTAAACGTGCTATAACATTTATACGGTCATGAAAGGGGAAAATGAACTAAGTCCAAGTTAAATTGATTCCGAATGTAGAAAGTTGTTTTTCCTTGTAAAACAGACTAGTGTCAATTGTTTTTTCGAAGAGAGGGAGTAGAAGATTCCTTTAGCTGAAATTCCATACTATAAGTTTTTGAAATCAATGAGACGTACTGTATACTCTAGGAGGAACAAGAGCAACGCTGATATTAGTGGAGAGTATTTTTTTTTCTAATTTTTCATCTGGTGTTCGATATTCATATTGGTGTCTCAATTAATTCAGATTTATGATGTTTAAGGTCTCTACTTCAGGATTTTTCTTAGAAGAATTAACCTAAATAGCCGTTCACCCAATCGCTTAAACTTAAAATAGCCGATGGAGGTATAATATATGAACAATCCATGTACAATATGTGTTTAAGTATGTATAATTAATGTATACATGTATATCGGCCAAAAAAAGTAAATAACGAATATGGCTGGCTATTTGTGTAAAATCTTTTTTTCTTATTCCCAAGGATTGAATCCGAGATCTTTTTCGCTTTATTTTACTTTTCTGTCGCTTTGACCCTAGTAAACATATATGTGCAATTTCGAGGTTGATGGCCAACAATTAGTCATTTGCCAAAAGATTCACTACTTAATATTTTTGACATCTATGTGACGATCAATTTTTTATGAACTAATTTCTTTCTTTGGCTGTCTCCATTAGGTTTTGGATGATGAGACGTTTGCAATATTGGTGGTTATGGCACTCTTTACAACCTTCATCACAACTCCTGCAGTAATGGCTATTCACAAACCCTCAATACACCAACTTCAACTCAAAAAGTTACCAAATAAAACCAAAGAAAACAATCTCAGAATTCTAGCTTGCATTCGTGGCCCTAGAGACGCACGTTCACTCATAACCCTCATTGAATCACTAAGATCTAACAAAAATAATAATTCTTCAGTTACCAAACTCTACGTAATGCAGCTCGTTGAATTCAGCGATCGACTCTCCTCGATCCTGATGGTTCAACGTGCCCGAAAGAACGGTTTTCCGTTCATCGGTCGTGTACTCCGGCGAGACGACACGACCGATCAAGTGGCCACGGCGTTCGAGGCATATAGTCAGTTAGGTCGGGTCAAGGTCCGACCTACGATGGCTATCTCAGCTTTGCCAAATTTGCATGAGGATATTATTCATGTTGCGGAGAAGAAACGAGCTGAAATTATTGTTTTGCCATTTCATAAACATTGGCAAATGGAAGGAGAAGAAGAAATGGAGATTCATGCAGGTATGTGTGTCAAAAATTGGTATACACATGTTCATTCGAATTACCAAATCAGCTAGTAATAAATTTTTTCTTTTATTTATCATGATTTTATCAAACAAATCAAACCTAAAAGTAAAATTGGTTTTAATGTTTAATTAAGTTTTTACTAGATCAATTTGGCTACATATGCCGTCCAAATGACCCAACTTTTAGATGGCTTTGTTCAAAATGACTTGCTAATAAATATAGGGAAAATGACATTGTATAGCCGCTCTTAAAATAATAGTCAAAATATATATATTTTTTGTATATATATACATTCTATATGTTATATACAAAAATTATACAATCTATATACTTTTTGGACTACCGAATGTAAATAGTTTCTGGCGCGGGCTAAAAGTGTAAAAAGCCCATAAATATATACCAAGCCAAACTGGTCCAATTCTTGGTGAATTCGGTGAAGTATATTTTTATGGGCTAAATTTGACTCCCCTACAACTATATTGTTCCGAGAAAAAAATTTCAATATCGTGTTCGTCTAGAAGAAAAACAAAAACTATATTCTGATTAGGGTCTTACAGAACGACAATTACATAAATACGTTCATATGCAGGGCACGGATGGAGAACGGTGAATGAGAAGGTGACGAGACGAGCGCCGTGCGCAGTGGCGGTGCTGGTTGATCGTGGATTAGAAGTGAATGGGATGAATTCCGTGAGAGTTTGCATTGTGTTCTTAGGTGGAGCTGATTGTCGAAAGGCTATGGAATTTGGTAGCAGAATGGTTGAACATCCAGCTGTTAGGGTTACATTAGTAAGATTCATTCAACATATTGGGAGTAATTTTGATGAAGTTGAAAGGTAATATCCTTTATGCATTTCTAGTATAATCTAACGGTTTAATGCATGCATTTGTATTTTGATTTTAAATTCTATGCATTGACGGTATAAAAAAATATTTATATAGATATAGTTATATAATAAGTGTAATTTGTAGTTAACGAGGCCAAAATCGTAAAGAACCTACTATCACAAGTTAAATAAAACTTTAGTGTAAAATATCTGTCTAGTGTCATGGTATAACTTAATCCTTGTCTATTATGTAGTACAGCATGTGTTATCATATAAGTTTAATTGATATGTATAAATAGTGTAAATACTCTTTACACTATTAGTAATCTTTAACATGCATGTGATGTTGTAGCAATAATATTATTTTGCAAGATACTAATCTCATACAATATTGCTCTTATCATAATAACTACTCAGAATTTAACTTGACACCAGATTAAAATATGCAAAATCAAGAAAAATAACGCATAAATGTAATATTATAAATTGCATGTTGCTATCAAAGGCTAATTCAGAATTTAAGGTCTATGGATTCAACCTTTAAGATTTTAGCATTGGACCAATTATATTTTTAAGTTATGAGTTCATATCTATTATTTATTGATATTTTAGTATTTTTTTAAACATATATTTATACTCCGCGTCAAAAATATTGAGTTCAGATGAACTCGATATCCGTATGTTGCATCCCCATGGTTGCTACATGTACAATTTCGCGTTAAACTTCAGAAATTAATCAAGATTTCAGTAGATCATTAGCACGCCAACATCTTTGGTATCATGATAAATTTGAGTTTTACCAAATCAAAACAACTAATTATAGACATCAAACTGGTCATGGATCTTTGGTTATATTACTATTTCTGCTATTCATATTTTCTTTACTTCATTATTTTCATCATAGCTTCTTTACTCTTGTATTTTTCAAACCCATTTTCAAAATACTTTTCTTGAGCTGAGGATCCATCAAAAACAACCTCTCTGCCTCACACACAGTGGCAGAGCTAGAATTTTCCCTAAAGGGAGTCAAAATATAAATAAGTAATTAAGCATATGAAAAAATTAAGGGGAGTTAACACATAGTATATGTACATAAAAATGAAATATTTAACCTATCTTCGCGGTATAATTTTCCGACGAAGGGGTGTCGATTGACTCCCTTGCCAATGAATGGCTCCGCCACCGCTCACACAAGATAGAAGTAAAATCTGCGTACACTCAACCCTCCTCTGACCCTGCTTATTGGATCACGTTGTTGTCGTTGTTGTACTAAATTCTTATAATGTATTGGTCTCATTTTTCCAAACAGGACTTTGGACGATACTACAATTGCAGATTTCAAGATAAGGTGGGATAAACAAACTGTATATGCTGAGAAAGAAGCAAGTGACGAATTGGTGGAACAAGTATTGGAAATAGGGAAAAGTGGGGAATTTGAGCTGATAATAGTAGGAAAAGGCAAGTTCCCACAAGGTATAATGGCAAAACTATTTGAAAACCCATTAACTGATCAGCATTCAGAATTGGGGCCAATGGCTAATATATTGGCTTCCTCTGGCAAAGAGATAAAAAGCTCTGTCCTAATGATTCAACAACAAGCTTTTGGCTGTGAAAATAGTAAGGATGTCAATTCAAAAGTGGCTAGCCAATGTTAAAAACCTGTTAAGATGGTGTGACTCATTTGGTAATTAGAGGGGATTATCAAATGTTAGTATTTAACTGTTGAATTGAAGAAAATACTCTTCAAATAGTTGTTGTCTCCATGTGTAGAATGAATAAATGAATAATCTCAATCTTTGTCTAAATTTTGTCTCCATGTTTGACTTTCCGTCGAAAAAATATCCTTGTCATTATACGAGTAATCCAAATATACCCTCGTCCGTTAGAAATAACCGATGTGGACCTTCAATCTCACGTGACACTAATATTTTGATGAGATGATTACCATGTGGCATGCCACCTCACTCCCCAACCCATTTTACTCCCTCCC